CAAGGAGAAAGAGCCCCCCCCCCGAAAAAGCCGGGGGGGCCGAGGCGGGGGGCAGCGCCGCCCCCTTAGCCAGCGGGAGCAGCACCCCAAATAGCCCCAGCCTTTCGCCCGCCAGCAGCCTGGCCGAGCAGAAGGCCGGGCCGGAGGTGACCTCGCAGGGCGTGCAGACCTCCGGCCCAGGAGCAAAGCAGGAGAAGGAAGAGAAAGAGGAGAAGCAGGATGCCACTGAGTGAGTGAGGCTGCCTTACGTCGATTCAGCCCGGCCTTGTGGCTGCCAGCGCCCGCAGGGCACGTGGCGGACCTGTAGAGCGCTCCTCGGTTCAGAAGGGAGGGGCGCGTCTGTGTTCCCCAGCTGATCCTCCTCCTCCTCCTCCTCTGCGCCTCTTCGGAGGAGCGTTGGGGCTTCCGTAGACAGGCGTGCGTGCTGGTGGGGTTGGAGAGGCCTGGTGGCCCCTCTGGGGGAGCAGGGCATCGAGTGGGGGAAGCCTGGCGCAGCAGGGTTTGTAGGTGCTTGGTGTGCCCGCTAGGGGGCGCGCTGCTCTGTCTCCTGTGGACCAGAGAGACCCCTCCCCTCCCTCCCCCAGCAAAATCAGCCAGCGATTTCTCTCTCCTTCCGCCTTACGTCCTTGCCGTATTTTATTCTATTTATTTTATACCCTGCCCTTTTGCCAAGGCTCTGCTTCCTGCCTCCGATGGAATATTTAGTTTCTGTGGAGAAAGAGGAAACTTCGCAGTGAGATTTGCAGCATCCGTCTCCTAAAACAAGCCAACATGCGTCTTCCTTGCATTTTTTGTTGTCTGTGTGTTTTGTCCCCTTAGACAAGTAAGAAAATCTACGCTGAACCCAAACGCCAAGGAGTTCAACCCTCGGTCTTTTGCTCAGGTGAGCTTCGTGGCCCTAAATGCTCCTTTCTGTTCCACATCGAAAGCAGAGTTTCTCCCGGGGGGGGGCAGAATTCTCCAAAGATTGGTCTGTTGAGCAAAGCCATCCGCGTCTTCCAGTTCCAGGATGATGGAACATCCATTTGATGGGACAAAGAGTCTTAATAGCCAGAAGGAGGGCTTGGCACTCTACGTCTGCACGGAGCACGTCAGGGCCTGCCTGGTGGGCCTCTGGAGTGGTCATCTTGTTCTTGTCCCTCCCTCCTGTCTTTGGCAGCCCAAACCTTCCACCACGCCGACATCTCCCCGTCCGCAAGCCCAGCCCAGCCCCTCCATGGTGGGCCACCAGCAGCCTGCTCCGGTGTACACGCAGCCTGTTTGTTTTGCACCCAATATGATGTACCCCGTTCCTGTAAGCCCAGGTGTTCAGGTAAGGTGAAGGCCCTTGGGGGCTTCTGGGTTTGGGTAAGGAGGACAACCTGGAACTCCTCTTGAGGAAGAAGACGGAGCAAGCCCCGAGGCAGTAGCGGATCAGAGGGCAAAGGACCCCCTTGGAGCTCCAAGTTATTTAGATAACCCCAAATAACAAGCTCTGGCTCAAACACCCATGTTTGGTGCGGTAACACTCTTGGCGCTTTAAGCTGTATTAGCTGCCCAGAGTTGCTATTGCAAGACGGGCAGCCGGATAAATTGAATCAAGCAAATAAAATAGTTAAATGGTGCGCTTTAGAGAAATTAGGACAAGGTTTTAAAAATGATTGGATTATCTGTGAATAAAGTCCATTTCTTTTGAGCTATCCCAGCACCCTCCATCCCAGTCACTGGTAACAATCTGTGCTTCCAGCAGTCAGTAAATTTGGTCGAGCAAGGCCTTGCTGCGTCGTATGCCCTAAGCTGTAAATCAATGCCTTTATTACAGCGTCCGCCCGGTGACAAAAATGCCAATATCGAAAATGTGCGAAGTATAAGTCAGGAACAAAGACGATAGGTGAATCCAGAATAATTTTGGGGTGGGCTTTATTAGCTAGCTCACCTTGTGAGTAAGAGCAGGCTGTTTATAGATAAAAGCATGCAGCATGAAATCGTTGGAACGTCCAGGAAGAGACAGAAAAAGAAGTAGAATCCAGTAATGGTGTGCATCTCTATTAAAAACCCAGCTGTTTTGTTGGTTTCCAGGGACACAAGGGCTGATACGTTCTTGAAAGGGGTTCTGTGAAATTTGCCATTGAACAGAGCAGAAGGCAGAAAATTAAAACATGCCCTGGAAAATGCTTTCTGAATTTGGGATGCAGTTAAAATAGTAAAGTCCCAGTCTGGTTCCTAGCTGGGGTTCAACCACCAAGGGTTTGAAACGTTAGAGAACTTTATCCCGATCCTTTGGATGGTCTGCACAGGTCGCTCTTTAGCCCTGTGCTGCCTCACAGAGAATAGACACTCTGGTAACAAGGATATGATGGCAATTTCCCTAAAACAGTTTGTCTAACTCAGTGTTTCTCAACCTTGCAACTTTAAGACGTGTGGACTGCAACTCCCAGAATTCCCCAGCCAGAATTCTGGGAGTTGATGTCCAGACATCTCAAAGTTGCCCAGGCTGAGAAACACTGACAACATGATTGCTAATTACTGAAGGAGCAACTGGAAGGACTTTCACTTTCAGTGGTAGTTAAGGGTGAACAGCAAACTGCTTTCAGCCGTCAGCAGCACAGCTCTCATATGCATCGAGGGGCTTCCGCAAAATGGCGGGTGCATGCAGGTGGTCTCTCCTCCCCTCTAATGGCTGTCCGCCTTCTCTTCCAGCCTCTGTACCCCATCCCCATGACCCCGATGCCAGTCAACCAGGCCAAGACCTATAGAGCAGGTAAAGGTGAGAATAACCCAGTGCTGTACGTGTTTGACGTGCATGGAGAGGTCCGAAGCGGCTTGGCTTCGCTCACAACCTTTTCCTTTGCTTTGGGGGGGCTCCCGCCTCACATAACATGAACCTCGCCCCCCCCCTTCCCTTGCGACGGAGCGCTGCTCACGCAAGCTTATGCCTTCTCATAGCCTGCCTTGGCCGGAAAAGATGCCGCCAGGCTCCTCCTGATTCTTTGCCCCTCTGGACTGATACGGCTGTCCTCCAACAGCTTGGTCAGTCTGAGAACTGGGGTAGATCAGCCGCTGATGGTGGTGTGGATCAGATCCAAAAGGCTTTAGATCCAGGGGATCCACAGCCAGCCTTTCTGATGAGCTCCTGGCACCGGGAGTTGATCTCAGACGGGATCTGCAGGCCCCGGGCAGGATTTCTAGGGGCAGAGTTGTTCTGGCACTCACTCGCTCTTTCTTCTCTTGGGGCGTTTAAGCTGCCTTTTGAGGGGCTGCAGAAGCGCAATCTTAAACGTGATTGGAAGAGTCCTGTGTGCTAATCTTAATGTAGTTCAATATCCCTTCATTGAACCAGTTAATTTGTATTTTTAAGCAGCCCTAATCAGACGTGCACCCAAACACTCATTCCTCCACCCTCATCCTTGAATATAGCGGGTTGCTCTTTTGACACCAGAGGAGGGACGTTCGGTTGGGGATACGACTTCTTTGTCTGAAGTGTTGGAAGATGAGTTGGTTTCCCTCTGTGGCTCCCCCCCACTTCTCCTTTTGGAACCAACACACAGGTGGGCCACTGCCACCCCCCCAAAGTGGCCCTGGTCCCAGCGCTTTGACAGAGGTTCGAAGGGTCAGCTGTGCTGTGGATCGGTGCCATGGCACGGAGGGGGGCCGGCGAAAGATGGCCCCCTCCTGGAGGTGCCCTTTTCTCTTCCTTCGCAGTAGCCAACATGCCTCAGCAGCGGCAAGACCAGCACCCCCAGAATGCCATGATGCACCCAGCCTCTGCCGCTGGGGCTCCCATGGTCGCCACGCCGCCAGCTTACTCGGCCCAGTATGTCGCCTACAGCCCTCAGCAGTTCCCCAGCCAGCCTCTCGTCCAGCACGTCCCCCATTACCAGTCTCAGGTATGGCTTTGGCCCGCTCCCTGCTCCTCAGACTGCCCACAGCAGCCGGGCACCAACCTGTGGTAAAACCCAGCTCTCTGGGTCAGGGCACCGCCACTTGCACAGCCTCCCTCCCGCCTGGCGTGGCCAGCGGCTGGCGGAACGGTTCAGGGGATGGGCCTGCCCGCGTCACATTGCTGGTGGGCTTCCCCGTCCCGGCGGGCCCCTCCCTCTGGGCAACTGGGGGGCGTTTGGATGGAGGTGTTTCGGCAGAGTCTGATCCCCCCGGATCATATCGGGAGGAGAGGCCGCTGCCATTCCCTGCCAACCGGCCAGCCTCCACGCCATGGCGCCAAGCAGCGGGGGACCCAAGTCAACCTGGAGTAGAAAATGTGCCCGAGAGCTTCAGATCTGTGGGAGGCTGGCCCGGCTTCGGATGGGGCGGGGCCCCCGATCACAGGCCAGCTTGGGGCAGGGCCCCTTGCCGCAGCAGCCCCTGTCGCTCTGGCCCTCATGACCTCTCTCTCCTTCTCCACACAGCACCCTCACGTTTATAGCCCTGTCATTCCGGGCAATGCTCGGATGATGGCGCCGCCGGCGCACCCACAGCCTGGCTTAGTCTCTTCTGCCGCCGCACAGTACGGTGCCCACGAACAGACGCACGCGATGTATGGTAGGATGACATGATTTGCATTCTTTTAAAAACCTTTTAACACCTCCCCCCACCCACGCAGGGCAGCACGTTCGCAGCGCTGATGAAAGGAAACACGCACTTTGTGTTTTGAGTTTGTTCGGGGAAAAAAAAAAAGAAAGAAAAACCTGTTATGATGTTGGTTTGAAGAATAAAGTACAGTTCTAAAGCACGGGCAGTCGTGGCCACCGCTTCGCCGTCTCAGTCTCTGATCCTTCTTCAGCACTTTCCCGGGCGTGCCGGACCTAGAATATTTCCCCCTGCCTGTCCCAGCCCTTACAGAAGGCTGATCGGTGGCCGGGAGCCACTTCCCACGTGTCATGATTGGTGTGTGTGACCCTGCTGCTGCAGAGCACAGACGGTCACGGCAGAAATTGCCTTGCGGAGCCAGGGGCTGATTGAGCAGAGGGCTCAGTCCCAGGTACGTCCGTCTCTGCTCGTCTTCTTGGCGCGGAGGCAGCGGGTCTCCCTCCATGCTCAGGCCCCCCTCCGTCCTGCCACCCTGGGAACAATTCCTGCCTCTCGGCGGTTTCAGCTGGGCTGCCGAAACCACGTGCCCACAGGCCCCCAACCCCAGGCAGGAAGTGCTCAGCCGATTCTTCAGCCATGAATAGCCCTGTGTTCGCGTCCTGCCGCTGCGGGCTCTGTGCAGAGGCTGCCTCTATGCTGTTATTCCCGAGGATGCCTGTCAGCAGCAGCTCCCGGGAAGTTGGGGAACACCGTCGCTCCAGCCAAAAGGAATTCCTTGGGGCTGGCCTGCGCTCCTCTCCCCCTTCTGGGTGGGCTCACGGGGCTGTTTCGTAGACCTTCCCCTTGCAGGGTAGGGACTCTGCTCTTTGGGCCCCTGCGAGGTTCTTCGGTTCTTAGCCTTTGGGGCAGCTGGTCGAGGTCCGGGTTTTCTGCCCGGAGGCTGCCAAAGTGCCCAGGGCTGTTTTCAAGCAGGCAGCCCAGTTGGAAAGGGCCCAGGCTGTGGATGCTCCTGGTCGGGAGAATGCCGGGTCCCTTCTCTGCACGAAAAAGCCCCCAGATTCAGCCATCCACATCTTCAGGCAGGGGGCATTCCCTGTGTTAAAACTCCCCGAGGTTTCCCCACCTCTCCACTGAAAATTCAAGCATCTTGTTGACTATCCTGAAAACAGCCTGTACAGGTGGCTGGGGGCGGGGGGAGAAGGTAAAGGTTGAACTCCATTGTCTGCAGGGGCTGAAACCACATTTGGCCAGATTCCCGCCCCCCCC